GTAGGGTTCAGCCAGCGTTTGCAATGTAAGCGCAAAAAATGTGTTTATTTATGACATCACATTAGAAACCTCTAAAATTATCAGTGTTTCCCTACTATATTATACATGTATTATACATATAAACGTTCCTCTTGAATCACTCTATCTTTTAAAAAAATCCGCATCAAAATCCGTTGCGTAGTTTTAAAGATTTAAGCATACATAGGGACAGACAGCGGGAAAGCGACTTTGTTTTATACTATGTAGTGATTTACTTATATTCCTTATTTTTAATCTTCCCCAGGACCCAGTCCAAGGCGTCATATCTCGCGTCACGCAGAGAAAAGGAGCGCATAGTTCCTGACTCCGATACGGGAATCTACAAAAGGACGATGTCGCCCAACGGTCATGCATTACCTCCAGACACTGTTAACGAATCAAACAAGTTCAATACCACCGATAACAGCTGGTTACAAAACAGATCAAACAAAGATATAAAAGTGATAAAGAATAACAGCGTGAATTTATCGCGAAGAGCGTCCATGAACGAAAAGACCGATATAAACGGTACCATGCTTCCCATGCAAGAACAGGAAGAAATTAAGAAACCCTTACCGGACGTTCTACCGGTCAAAGAGAAAATTCTACCACCTAAATCATTAAATTTGACCGTTAGGCAACAGCAGTTCGAAATAAATAGCTTTAATAAACATCAGAACATTCAAAGGTCTCCTCCGAAGTATGAAAGTCCTCCGTCGTCTCCGTCCAAAAGTCCCTTAAGAAATTCACCACTTATGCCTTTAAGAACTACAGCTCTATCGCCGCACTCCCCCAATTCTGATAATTTGCAATCGTCTAACAGAAACTCACCTTCCAGGAATGAACAAAGCACTCCCATCAAACGATCATTTCAAATAAACTCATCACGAAAATCTCCTCAGTTCTCTGTGGACGTATCAGATTCTCCAATTATCAAAAGTAATTCTTCGCCACAACAGTACTTCGTTTCTTCAAGTACAACTTGCAATTCTACCACATATAATTCAACTTACAACTCGGATTCGGTAATTGCTACCACCGTTCCTTGTAACATTTCTTCAGAAATGTCAAAAGCTCCCCCACAAAGGCATTCTCCTCCGCCCCTGCGTCAGGCCGTTTCGGTAAACTCGATAAGAACAATAAAAACAATTTCACCCCCCGGACGGGCTTCTCCCATGATCTCGACGTCCACAAATACTCCCCTTCACATGTCTCCAAACACATCGTCTTCTTCGATATCGACATCTCCGGCTTCACCGGTAGAAAAGGACATTGAACCTCCGAAAGTCATCGAAGGATTGCAAATGATACAGAGAACCGAAGTGGTATTGAGGGTGAACGTTTGTACAACGGATGCCGCTTCCCAAACGGATAAAGAAGAACTCCCACCAACTCCTCTGCCAACGAGGAAAAAGCTCAAAGAAGAAATCGAATGCGAAAAGCTATCTCAAGATCTCATTATGCAGTTGCCTCATACTGATAGGTTAAAGCATCTCTTAGGTAAGTATGTAGTTTGGGGAACTGATAAAAAAATTCTTCCCCAAAAGTCCGAAATGGAACTAAATTCATTCTATTTTGTTTTTTTTTCAGTGCCAGGTCCAGAACATAAGAAACCTACGGACTATGTTACAGGACTTTTTCGTCCTGAAGTCACATCCAGGCCAAAGTCAGTTAGTTCCCACTTTCGCAATCGGAACAGTTCGCCTCCTGATAGCAGTCCTCCTTCTTCAATTACCTCTTCCACGACTAACTCGTCACCCACTTACAAAAACAAGTAAGTCGCTTTCACAATAATCGAATAACTGATGCTTTAGTTTCACTTCAATTTTATTAATTTTTTTCAAAGATCTACTCGATTTACACCGTCGTATTAGTTTACATGAATGATAGGTATACTATCTAACATTAATAAGTTCAGCTTTCAAATCTAATTCTGATTATATTTTTGTTTATCTACGTGTCAAGCACGATCACCTACATCCTTATAATATCATCTCCAATTTCTTGACCAGTCGCGTCTATTATAAAAGACTTAATTAATTAACATAACGCCCAGATGGGTATTTAATATCATTTTACACCTTCGCAAATGGAAAGTGGGTCAATCAGATTATAATATCATACGTATTGTCGATGACATTGATTTGTTTCGAACTCTAAAATCGATTTTTCGTACTAAAATCGTTAACATGCCGTGCCTAGTGATATGAAGGACAATATTTTGCAATATGGTTTTTGGTGGAGTCTTGAAATACATTTGTGTTGGTATCAAAAAACCATGAGTAATTAATTTAAGCCTTTTTTTGGTTTATCAGCGAGTCACCTTTAAGTTCCTGCACCGTCCCTGTAATAGAACCGACGAGTCCCTTATCTGCAACGTCCACGTACTTTACGAGATCGGAACCCAAAGCAAAACTTCTTACAAGATACAGTCAAGACATGAATCAATGTAATGTAGCAAAGGATACCAAAGATCTTAATCAAAAGAAGGTAATATAAACTCGCACGTGGATTTATTATATTTATATATGAGTTTTTATTGTTTTTTGCAGACGGAATTGATGAGTAGATTAGATAAGAAATTGGAGGTTCTTAGGAGTGAACAGCTGGTGGTGTCTGAAGAGTGCCGAATAAATGACGAATTGGGAGAAAACGTCGAGTCTCATATCAGTCGTGTAGCAAGACCCCACGAAGCAGCCAAATTCAGGCTTCACATAGAAGAAGTTGGAAAAATTACTAGCTTGCTTTTGGGACTTTCCGGACGTCTTGCAAGAGCCGAAAATGCCTTGATGGGAATGGCGGACGATCATCCAGAAAAGGTAATTTATTTCTTATCTCAAAAATTGAAACAGTTGAAAGCTCTGAAGGATGATTTATCCTTACTATAATTTTCCTAGTTTTAGATAAACATCTAGAAACTCCAAATATATTTTTAAGGGTTTATTTATTTACATAAATGGCTCTTTCCAGTAATATGTCACGTGATTCAAAAAAAGTAATGAAATTTTCATGTATCATAGCTTATGCTACTCAAAACTTTGATGCGACTGTTCTTTGAGTATTTTCTTTTCTTTAAATCTTTGCCTTCAAAATGGAATTGTTAAAAAAATATAGAAAAATTCATACAAATTTCATTGTTTCAGAAAACTTTGGAAAGCAAACGTGATAAACTTCAGGAGCAGTTGGAAGAGGCGAAAAAGCTGAAGGAGTGCATAGATAAGAGGAGCATCAACGTTTCGAACATTCTTTACAAATATTTGAATTCGGAAGAGTACGCCGACTACGATCACTTCATCAACATGAAGGCCAAGTTGATAATGGACGCGCGAGAGATCGCGGACAAGATCAAACTCGGGGAGGAACAATTGACTGCACTCAAAGAGACCCTAGATGCCACCGACTGAACGACTGACTTTAATTTAAGTGCAACTCGGAAGAAGCAAGAGATAAATATAAATGTAAGTGTTAATAATTAATGATATCACTACTATTATTATGATATGTTAACTGATTCGAGTTCTATCGAACGGTCCTAGTCCAGTGTACGATTGACAATAATGATGAGATAAAATATCGATTAATTATTGATCGATTAATTAATTAATTTTTCGTTCGTCTGTTTGTTTGTTTGTACGGTTGTTTGTTTATTTGTTTGGGTTTAGAATGTGCGTTTTCTTTTCCGGTTTTTGCTAGAGTCGACTTTTTTCAATTTTTTTTGTACAAAACCCATGTATTATTACTATTATAATTATGATCTATTATTGATTTGTGTAACTACTTAATAATAGTTTATTAGAATATCACTGTCAGCAATTATCAATCGATTTAAGTGTGGTACTTATTTAAGAATAATATTTTTTGTTCTCGTTTCTCGATGATGTGATTTACATGTCATGTAGATGATCGATCGATAAATCGACATCGACATCAGTCGTCATCGTTGTCGAATTCAATACACACATAAAATATGTTTAGTTATCATTATTATCATTATTATTACTATTATTATTAATTATTAT